TCTAAGAAATGCTGGTTCCACAAGCTGGCATTTGCATCCTCGCTCGCCTTCATGCGAGACTTGTCGGGGAATTGCTCTCGGGTCACCGAATCATGTGAATCGTATCGATGATCCAAGACGGCGTCGGGTGTGAGTGCCCCCTGCTGCCTTTCCAACACGAGTCCAAGTCTAAGTGAGTCGGTCAACTCGGTCATGAGCATACTGCGGCGAGTCGTTCGTGGCGATAGAACTGCCCGGGTTTTCCCGGGGTCGCATGTGATTTGAGCATGCAGAAAATTGAATCGAGGCTCCTCGCTAAATCCCTTGTCTGAGGTTGACTGTTGCTTTCTTGCACTCCCCACCATAAGCGTGATGGTTGATTGTCGCTGCCTTTCCCTGGGTTGGGGTGTCGTACGCTGGAACAGCCGCCACTTCATGCTCGGCTCGCCGGTTTCACTGCCATCAGAACCGTAGTCGTTCAGTAGTCCCGAAAGAGGAATAAGGCGCAAAAGACAGCTGGCCGAAAGATGCCATGGGGCGGCCAAAGTGGCACTGCAGAGAACGTACGGGATGATTTGCTGGAGCCCACATTAGGAGTCACGGAAAAGCTCATCTGGGACAGCTCGTTTGCAGTCGCGTGGAGGATAGAGAAACTTAAGCACCGGTCCACCCGTTTCCTCGGTCCCCCATCATTCTCGTATTCTTGCACTCAGACTTGCAAATAGATAAATCATAATCAAATCAAATCAAATTAAATCAAATTAATCCAAATCAAATCAAATCAAATTGCCCCTGCGCTGAATCAAATCAAATCAAATCGCAACACCCAAATTTATTTGGATATCTGATTATTTGGATACGCCCCACAATGGCGACCTGGGCCAATAGTTTTGGGAGCCAGCCCTGCCTGGCCTAGAGTGGTCGCTAATTACGGGCAGTTGCTTTTCAGGCCGTGTCACCAAGCTTTCTTTTGTGTTTTACCTGACACGTTTGATCGTGAAATATATCTTTGGTGCATCTGCCATATTACGGGGGGAGATATTTGTAGCCGATGGCCAAAATGGGACAGCTCTGCACTTGACTGCTGCAATGGCGCATATGGGAGGAGTACCGAACCCTCGCGGTCGAGCAAGATACGATACCCGAGGAGCCCACAGCTGCAAGGAAGACAACGGACCTAGATGACTTCATGACCTCAATTAGGAAACTTGGCGCCCAACCTGCGCCCTCACCGTCCTCCATGCGTGACGAGTACGCAGAATGGGTGGGCAGTACCGATCCGGGCGATTGTCTTGTGGACAATCCCATCCAGTACTGGCTTCTCCGCAGACGCCAATATCCACGCCTGTCGCGAATGGCAATCGACCTCTTTTCCATTCCGGCGATGTCTTCAGAGCCGGAGAGAATATTTAGCCTTGCCGGACAGATGGCCGCAGCTCAGAGAGGCCGCCTCAAAGCGGACCTTATCAAAGCGGACCTTATAGGAGCGGCTCAATGTATTTTGTCGTGGGAAAAAAAGTGGGGCTATCCAGATATCCAAATGAGATCCAAATCGATTCAAATCAAATCAAATCAAATCAGATCCATGATTTTGCTATCCAAATCAAATCAAATTGGACCCCGGATTTGATTTGATTTATCTATTTGCAAGTCTGCTTGCACTCTCAGAGGCCAATGAACGGCAGAATCCCACAAAGAACCTCCTGCCTGCCATGTCGACTGACTCCCTCTCGACGATCCAGGAGTATACGGATACGGAGTCGATTGCATGTGGACAAACTGGCCAACTGCGTGCTCCCGGCAGGCTTCTATGTCCTGAATCGCCAACACCAGAGGCTCTAGACACCGTGACCCAATATAAAGGCGCGAGCCGTGGCGACAAACGTGCGCAAGATGAGATTTCAAAGTCACCTACAACCGACACGCAGCTGACACTCGCACCAAGCGATCTTCGAGAGGCTCGTCATTCATCTTCTCGTGGCGATGGGAAGGAGAACTGTTCTCCTGGACTTGCATTCCAGGTCACTTTGTTCAGTGCCTGCCATCGAGTAGAGGCCCACGGCTCCATCGATGGCGGACAAGACGAAGAAGTTGCACTGGATTTCACTCTCCCTCATCGAAAGCCAGTTAATATCACCATGAGATTTTGTCAGTATTCTCCTCGAGGGTCTTCACAACATACCAGGCAACGCAAGCAGAAGGTCCATGACGGAGTCTCCCGGAGGATCGGTGCGGAATTTCAAGCGCCTCAGCGAAGATGGCAAACTCCTGAACCGGGGCACAGAAGGCAACGAGCCTACAGGTCACAAAGGAGCAAGCAAGGGCCTTGCGAGCCTTCCAGAACAAACAAACGTATTGATTTCAGATTAAGTGTCTTCACCAGCCCCTGAAATGGTAATTGCCCCTAGCTGCCTCCAATATATATCTGTTCCACGAACCAGCGTTGCCTTCGCTTGCCTTCATGTGAGGACCCTCGGAAATTGCCTCAAGTTCGGCGTATCTTGCAATACGTGCTGACGATCGAATATGGTGTCGGTTGCGAATTTCCCTTGCTGCCTTTCCCACACGAGACCAAATCGAAGAGAGTCAGGCAACTCATTCGCGAGCATGTTATGACGAGTCGTTCGTGGCGATAGAGGTGCTGCGGCTTTCCCACGGTCGCATGTAGCTAGAGTGTCTTGCACATTGGATCGGGGCGCCTCGCTGCTGCGCTTGTCAGAGGTTGCCTGTTGCTTTCTTTCACTCTCCAGCCCAAGTGTAATGAGTGATTGTTGCTGCCTTGTCCTAGGACGGGGTGCAGTACGCTGGAACAGCTGCGAGTCCATGATCGGCTCGCCACTATCATCAGAACTGTCGTCGTCGGTAGTCCGTCCACTCGTCGCCCCCCTCCCCATTTTCAGATAGACTTAATGCTTCATTCGTGCATGTGGGCAGGGCACATCTGGACGCCTGAACATCTTCTATAACGTGAAGGTCGGAGCCGGGCGAGCCGGGCGTCTTGAGCAAGCCCTTCTTCGAGTCCGAGGAAGTCCTTCTTTGGGACATGTTTTCAGACGACTGGTGGAAATTGGTGTAAACTAAGGTGGGAACGTCGGTCAAGGAGATTGTCGCTGAGCCGAGGTCATATATACGAGATGATATAGGTATGCGGAGAGCAAGGCTTTCTTTAATACTTCGGAAGGCAGTAGGCACCTTTGCGTCGCACTCTCAAGCATGGAAGGATTAGTTAAAGTGTTCACGTCAACCTGAACGCGGCATCTGCGCGTTGCCCAAACTTGGGCTGCTCGAATTAGGAGAAGTAGCTTTGGGTAGAGGATGGCAGTGATGTAAATTACCGTCGCTCTGATCGAGTGCCCTCAGGAGATACCAGGTGCTCCGTCGACCGTTTAGTACCGGATTCTACCATTACAGACAGTTGTATATCCACCTTCTTATCTAACAGTCTCCTCCGGTGATCTCTTATCATACTGTCTAGAGGTACTGCTGGCATGAATAAAATCACCAGACAAAGTCCACACTGACCTCCAAACTGGTGTCCGACCCAACCAGTCACAGAACACACTAGGAGCACCGATGATGCCAGGAATACCAAGCCACTCACTGCTCCAAGCCACGGCATCCCCTGGTTTGACGTCGGCCGCTCTGGCTGAGGCTGGTTAGAGCGCTGGCCATAACGATGGAAACACTGTGTCTTCCTCCATATCGCCAGAACCATAATACCGGTGGTTAGGTGAGACACCATTGGAGCAGCCCACCAGTATTCAACACCAGATCGCCTAAATTGCCAGACGGTTGCCCCAACAAAGGGAAGGTGAAAGACTAGTACTAGTCCGAATATGATGATTCTCGCCTTAATGGAGGGGTCAGGCTCGACGGCGCCGCAAAAATAGGCATAAATCAAGGGGTCGACGACTTGAATAAGCTGTATTCCATGAGTACCTGGAGGAGGTAATTAGACGGGCTGAAAGGGAAGTACCTCGATGATGTCGACGCATAAAATGGTGACCCCTTTCCAGGCTGTGAAAAAGGGGTAGGCAAACGCGCTTGGTAGGAGTGCATCTCTCGCACTGCCAAACAAAGCGGCGAATATTACTCCGGCACCCAAGAGGAAACAAGTAGTAGAAATCAGTGCCCAAGTTCGCCTACGCGAAGCGTCTCGCGGCTTAACTCTGATCATCCAGTACAGGTAGGGCGCCAGGAAAACCGTGGTCACGGCAAACACGACACCAGCCTCGCTGACCTCCTTGGTTGTAATCTCGTCTTGCATGTCGAAATGCGGCAACCTGGACTGGTGGAGAAAGTGGAATGAGAGCTTGGAGTAATGAGAAGGCACATGAGCACCGGATTTGGCTGGAACGAGACGTGCATTATATAGACGTTGAAGTCATAACAGCGAATAGTTATTGGTATATAGCAAATAACGCTCGGGTGAAGAGAGCCGCAGTGCATTGTCCGGTCGACTGACAAACGGGAAGACATACCTAGAGTAAGGTGGTGATGGGTGCTTTGTACATAGTAAAGCTACACCATTATTGCCTTGAAACTGGGCTATAATTGATATGATGGTTTACATATGTGAGGCGCGTGAGCTTCGTCCATATTGAAACGACGTGATTAGAGTAGGGTTCGCGGAACGGCACGTCCTCAACTGGCCATTGCGTTTGGCCTCCGGTTACAGGCTGTCACACATAGGATATCAGCCTCCAACAGTCTGACCCCTATTCGCACAGTCCGTTTCCACATTTCCCACAGAAACTTCTAGGAGGCATCATCAACGCATCAGTGGCTTCCAGATGATCTGATCAGATGCTTCCATTCACTACCATTCCCTTCCATTCTCATATTCAGGCAGTCTATAAAGATCTCGCCTCTTTCCCACCTTAGATAGCAGAATCAAGAGTCTTCCAGTCCCTGATCTTTATGCCCACTTGCTCATCCTCCGTGCGATAGTTATGAGCCCGGTCTGCCACTGACTGGGTATCTTATTCTTGTTCACTCCGCTGCGCAGAATAGCTTCCACAATGAGCTCAGCTCTAGATCTTGATGGCTCTTCCAAGGGCACCGTGCTCAACGGCCCTTGCGACTGGAAACAATGGATTTCTATCATCAAGAAATTCGCCACGTCCCACAGTCTTTGGGACTTTCTGGACCCTGCCGTCAAGGAGGGTAAGCCGGTTCTTCAGCAGCCAGTTGAACCAACATTCCGACAAATCAACCACGAAGCATCTGATCTCGTGGATCTGACCTCGGAGGAATTTCGCCGTCTCGAATTCCTCCACACCCAATACCGCTCGAAGCTTCAAGGGTATAGGGATCAAGTGAAGGCACTCGCCAGCCTTCAACAACACATCGTCAAGACCATCGGCAACTACTACAGCACCATTGCCGAGGAACACGACGTTGCAAAGCAACTTGCCTTGCTTCAGGCTCGTGTGGCCCCAACCGACTGGGCACTCGAGAGGAAGTTGTTCAGCGTTATCGTTCCACCCTTCAGTCGCCAAACAGGACCAAGATCGAAGCTTGGGTCACCCAATGGCAGAAAGTCCTCACTGAGGCAAAGCAATTAGGGCTTCCTGATGTCCAGGACCTTCGCCCTACCCAAGATTTCCTACAGGCTGTTTCGTCCATCAACGCCCCATTCACAGACTATTGGGTCAACAAAATGGAAGACGAGGCCGTATTCGGCAAGCCTGAGTGGAAGACCGACTTCCCGGACGGCATTAAGATCAGTGAGATCTTTGAACGAGCTCACCGAATCAAGGCCGCCAACAACAGCAAAGGATCATTCGGAGCTGCCTTCCAAGGCAAGGGAGAGAAATCGGAGAGGAAAGAGGACAAGCCTAAGTGGTCTTCAAGCAAGAACGCTGATGGTGTTCCTATGTGTGTCTGCGGAGAATATCACCGCTTCGTAGATTGCTTCTATCTCATCAAATCAGCTCGGCCTGATGGCTGGACTCCTGATCAGAAGGTTGAGAAGAAGATCAAGGAAATCCTCGACTCCAATCCATGGGCAAAGAAGATGACGGAGAAAGCACAAGACTTCAAGAAGAAGGAAATGGAGAAATCGTCCGACTCCTCCGTTAAAGGCACAGCGTTTGCCGGTCTTCTACCAGCTCCTGACAACACACCGCCTCCTCAACACCTCCATCAACCAGTTTCTCGACGGGAAAGGCAGTCTACCCGCTGTATGACTCCTTTATCCTTGATTCCGGATCAGACACACACATTTGCAACAACCGATCCCGTTTTCTTGACTACACCGCCCTTGCAGAGCCAAAAGAGCTCTTTGCAGGCGATAGTCAACTTCAGATCCTTGGCTACGGCACAGTCCGTATGAAGCTTGAAGAAGGAGGACTTTTTCAGCTCAACGAAGTTGCCTTCGTGCCAAAATTCCACACCAACATCGCATCCTCGACCGCTTTCTTGCGAAGGATACAACTGGAATCCACTATCTGGACGCGTCTCTAAAGACGATCAGATTATATTTCATACGAAACGCCGCTTTCGTCAACCGGTCATCGAGTTCAACCCGATTAAGGAGGACTCTCACGCCTCCAACTTCACATCTTCATCTGCACCTCGCGCAGTGAAAACAGCAGATGCTACGCTTTGGCATAAGCGCCTAGGCCACTTGAACGCTCAAGCCCTAGAGCGTCTTGTTGAGAACACGACGGGTTCGAAGATCAAAGGCCCAGTTACCATCGATTGCACCGCGTGTTCCCTTGGGAAGGGAAAGAAGGTCGTCTCTCGCCGAACCCCTCAAAACCGATCTCCAGACCATTCTGGAGAATCTACGTTGATATCTTCAGTATGAACACCTCATTCAACGGCAAGGAAGCTGTTCTTCTTATCAAAGATGAATTTACAAGCATGATCTTCATCTACCTTCTGAATGACGCGACACAAGGGTCCGTTATGACTGCTTTGAGAAACCATGAGGCAATGATTCAACGCCAATGGAATCTCAATATTTGCATTATCCACCGTGATAACGATCGTTCTCTTCAGAGTGCGTATGAGAGCTGGATCGAGGAAAAGGATTCAAGATGAACCTTCTGCCCTTACACTCCCGCTCAAAACGGCTCTGCAGAGCGATCTGGGGGGGTAATATCTGCCCAGGCCAGAACAATGGGAATTGATGCCAATTTACCATCTGATCTTTGGCCAGAGACTTGGAAAGCAGCAGTGTTTTTGCACAACAGATCGCCCATGCAGAACCACAGCTTCCGAACGCCTTTCCAGCTGCTTCATCAGTGGCTGCGAGACAACAACAGAGACATAGGCTACCAGCAAGACCAGCCTGACATCACGTTTCTCAAGGCATACGGCTGCAGAGCCTATCCTTGACACCCCAGGCCCTTCAGAACAGACAGAAGAAGGACCTAAAGACCGACCCTCACACAGAAATCGGTTATCTCGTTGGATATGATTCCACGAACATTTTCAGGATCTGGATTCCGTCCACATCAGAAGTCCGAAGGGTCCGAGATGTGACCTTCAATGAAAGCATCTTCTATGACGGAAATGATCAGCCACCAGAACCTATCCCACAGCGCGTGGAAGTACAGCTTCCAGCCCACATCGAGGACGAGTCGGATTACGAGGAAATCCCACTCAAATCGATGAACCTGAACCTGACCCCGTTGAGCAATCTCCTCAACCTCAGACCAAGGAGACGCCACCACGATTGTGGTACAACCCGAACCATCTGATCATGAGGACTCGGATGATCAGGATGAGTTTCATGACATTCAGCACCCATATCCGACACCGGACCCCGGTCCGAGTGACTCTCAGCCACGGCGCTCAGCCCGCACTCCAAAGCCTCGCAAGCTCAGTGCTTTTCGACCAACACTAAGGGTCAATTCCACAGCTCTTTCTTTCTCGGCAGAGAAGAAAACTTCAGACGACACCTTCCTCCCGAACCTACGACGTATAAGGAACTTCGCACCCACAGATTTGGTCCTCAGTTCAGAGAAGGAGCCCACGCCGAGTGGAAAGCACTCCAACAGAGAGGAACCTTCAGAGCGGTCCCCAGAGACCAGGTCACGGGCAAGCTTTGCCACTTACCTGGGTCTTTAAGTATAAGTTCGACAAGCATGGCTTTCTTACAAAGTTCAAAGCCCGTCTTTGTGTTCGAGGAGATCTTCAACAGCTAGGTGACAAGGACACCTATGCAGCAACCCTTGCAGGACGTTCTTTCCGGATTCTCATGGCCATCACCGCCAAATTCGACCTTGAGACCCGACAGCTCGACGCAGTTAATGCCTTCACAAACGCCCTCTTAGAAGACGAGGAGGAGGTCTATGTAGCCTTCCCAGACGGATACTACAGACAGGGATGGGCTCTTCGCCTCATGCGAGCCCTCTATGGCCTCCGACGGTCCCCTCTTCTTTGGCAGAAGGAACTCACTGCTGCATTCAGAGAGCTTGGTCTTACACAGTGTCCCGACGAACCCTGCATCTTCCAGAACGACTGGCTCACTGTTTTCTTCTTCGTTGACGATATTGTTTTCCTCTATCGCAAGGAAAACGAGGACGCAGCTGATGAGATGGTTGCAGCCCTCAAGAGGAAGTACGCGATGACAGACCAAGGGAATTACAATGGTTCCTTGGTATCAGACTCTACGTTGCTAGGGATCTAGTTTCTTTCTTCAGTTTGCACTGCCCACTAGCCAGCACAACCTGGGGTATGTCACACATAGGATATCAGCCTCCAACAGTCTGACCCCTATTCGCACAGTCCGTTCCACATTTCCCCACAGAAACTTCTAGGAGGCATCATCAACGCATCAGTGGCTTCCAGATGATCTGATCAGATGCTTCCATTCACTACCATTCCCTTCCATTCTCATATTCAGGCAGTCTATAAAGATCTCGCCTCTTTCCCACCTTAGATAGCAGAATCAAGAGTCTTCCAGTCCCTGATCTTTATGCCCACTTGCTCATCCTCCGTGCGATAGAGGCCATCCAGTAGATCGGCATCACCAGCACTGCGTACAACTACAACCTGGTTCATGCACTTTGGCTTGAATGCGTCTAAGTCCCCCCTTGACCAGGGAGGTCGGAACGCCATAGGCCTGCGCAGAGGGCACCTTGCCCAGGTCTGCAGTCAAAAAGAATGTGGCCGTGACCACACCATAAGCTCTCGAGTGGAGATGGACGGGCCAAACAGGGAAGGTCAAAGACATGAGCAAAAGGTGTCGTTGCGCCATTCTACATTGGGGTTTGTGGGACAACAGCGCGGCTGTAGGAAGCGTGACTCTCAGCTGTGACAATTCTGCAAGATGGTGATTGGGTGTTTTGTGCATAGTAAGGTTACACCATCATTGCCTTGGGGTTGGGCTACAGTCGATATGATGATTTACATATATGAGGCATATGAGCTTCCTCCACATTAAAACGGCCCTGGTCAGAGTAGGGTGGGTGGAATGGCACGTCTTCAACAGGTCAATGCGGTTGGCTCACAGTTACGAGGCCATCCAGTATCTCGGCATCACCAGCAGTCAGTGATCTTGTTGGACTGGACTAGCATTGGAGTGGATTTGGATGGACTGGATTTGGCTGGACTGGATTTGCAGTTTCAAAAATTTGGACTGGACTGGATCGAGAGGTCTGGAGGCTCCTGGAGCTCCAATGGACCATGCCTAATTAGGAAAGAAGAAAACCTCAACGCCAATTTTCGTTTCAGGGCTACCACAACAACGCGTTATTGATTGGAATACAGCGTGCTCATGACGAGCAGTGGTAACTACCAACGTAGAAATTCGCCAGACGGGAGATGTGACCGACTGCCGGTATAACTAGCAGCAGGAATCCCATATTTCCATCTGGCCAACAAGGTAACCACCGTAACCTTAACTTGATCAACGTTCCAAATGGCCGCATCGACAATCACCCAATTCTTCACTGGCGCTTCTAATAAGCCCTCTAGGTCAGATAATGTTGTTCTCGCTCCGGAATCGATCAACAGTCGTCGCGATCCGGAGGCCCTGATCCAGCCAGATGAGTTCAGGCTTCAGGGAGAGGAATATACTCGCTGTGCCGTGCTGGCAAGAGGCCCTAAATCAACAAAGAAGCGTACATCCGTCATATGGTTATACGGTGAGGACCTGAAGTCAAAAATAGATGATAAACGTGTCTGGTACTGCTATCTCTGCGAGAAGCAGCGTCGTCAACAAGACCTCCCAGCTATCTCAAGTGGCAATTCTACAGCGCTTGACCACCTCCACTCGAAACATGATATCGACAAATCTACTGGGGAACACAAGAGCTTTCGAGGAGACTCGGTTGACTCGAGCCAGCCCTCGATATCCGACTACCAAGACGTGAAGTCGATCATCTTCTCCCGCCGCTTAGATAGGTTCAAGGAACTGCTCGTCCGGTGGCTGGTCGGTTGCCATATCGCCTTCTTCCAGGTTGAGAATGACTACTTTCGCGATCTCCTCTTTTACCTGTTCCCGCCCTTGACGAACTTTCTCCCAAGGGCAGCGTCAACTATTCGACAGTGGGTGATGAATTCGTTCGAGGTGAGGAAGGAGAAATTGCGGCAGGACATGCTCGACAGTCGGAGTTCCATTTCGTTGTCATTCGATCTATGGACGTCGCCAAACTACCTCGCAGTGCTTGGGGTAGTAGCACACTTCATAGACAAATCTGGGTTGCGTCGAACTGCTGTCTTAGCGCTGCGCGAAATGGAAGGAACACTCGGGAGAGAACATGGCCGATGTCCTGCTACAGGTCATCAAAGATTATAAGATTACGGACCGGGTCGGCTATTTCATGGCCGATAACGCGACGGCCAACGATGTGTGCGTTGACTCGGTGCTGCGCGCCGTTTACCCCAGTATGTCGGACAAGCAGCGAAGACGCAGGCGCCTCCGCTGCTTTGGGCATATTGTGAATCTCTGCGCGCAGGCTTTCCTGATCGGAAAGGACGCCAAAAAGATCTGCAAAGATCTAGACGCTGCATACAAAGAAGGCGACATGACGCGAATCCGGGAGCTCTGGCGGAAGCGCGGCGCCATCGGCAGGCTTCATAATATCATCAGATATATTCGAGCCAGTCCTCAGCGCCGTCAGTTTTCAGATCAATTGCCTGTGGGGAGCACTGTCGGAGTTCGATGGCTTAGAGGTGAGTTGCCTTTGTACCCTCTGGGAACCAGCAGATCGATCAGGACTAATTTAGCCCAGCTTATCCAGAGCCAGCAAACGCGCTGGAACTCATACTTCATGTCAATCGGCAGAGATCTCAAGGAGAGAATTCAGATATTCTGTGACCAGTATGAGGCTGGCCAGAGCCAGAAAAGTCTCGCTGAAGACCGCCTGTCTGAGCAGCAGTGGAACGAGCTTGCACACCTTCATGATCAGCTGGAGACGTTCTACGACGGAACCCTGTCGACGGAAGGCAGGCATTCAACGCTAGCAGATCACTTTCAGACGCTCGACTGGTTGCTAAATGAGATCCAGCAGGCCAAGATTAAATTCGAGGAACTTCACAGGGCGGCTGTTCGAAGGAAGACCAGTCGTGGAGCTGCCGCTGCTGAAGCCGACAACTTTGCGTTTCTTGCCGCTTCGGCAGAAGCTTCCTGGCGTAAGGCCGAGCAGTATTTCAATAAAGTGGACGAGACACCGGCATATTATACCGCCATTTCGCTGAATCCGACTCTCAAAAGTCAGTGGTACGTCGAGGCTTGGACAGACGAAGAAAAACGGTTATGGATCCCGGGCGTTACGAGGCTTGTTAGAGAACTCTGGCTAGAGGAGTATCGGGGCAGGCATTCCACAAAGCAGGCTTCGGTCTCCGCTTCGCCCGGTCCAACGTCGTCTGTTTCAGTTAGGAAGGAGAAGCCTTTGCGGCTGTTAAGAGCCATAAAGACTGAAGCTTCGTCACGAGGTCGGATCAACAGACCTGCCCGCCATCGACCTTCTCGATCAGTTCCTGGAGACAGATGTTATCCGGCTTGGTGAGGAGGAAAGCTTTGACGTTATCAAGTATTGGAACGATCGCTATCATACACAACCTGATCTAGCACGCATGGCACTAGATGTTCTATCTGTTCCACCAATGTCGGATGAATGCGAGCGGTTATTCAGCAGCGCTAAGATCCTGCTTTCTGACCGGAGGTCGAGGCTTAAGATCGACATCATTGAAGCTAGCGAGTGCCTCCGGTCCTGGTACGGCCCACCTGCACGAAATACTTTTGAGGATATCAACATCGGGAGACTAGAAGGAGTCTGATCTGCAGGAGGCTTACAAAGCTGGGGATGGATCTGAAGCTAAAATGGACGACGAGGACCTTCGGATCGTGGATCAAGATGATTACCTCCATGATAATACTCCTCAGCCCCAGGAGGGCTTGCGGTAGTTAACCAGCGTTATTGATGTCAATCACACACCGCACAGCATTGAACAAGGATCGACTCCGTGGTAATCTCGCGATGACTATAAAATACGGAATATCGACTACCTTGAGCTAATCCATTTAAGGATTGGATTTGCATTGGCGGTTCTGGAGTCCTCAGCGCTGTGCATTGGACTGGACTGGATCCGACCTCGAAATCCAGTCCAGTCCAGTCCAACAAGATCACTGCCAGCAGTGCATACAACCTGGTTCATGCACTCTAGCTTGCATGCGTCCAAGCACCCCTTGACTAGGGGGTCGGAACGCCATGGACCGGCACAGAGGGCAACTTACCCAGGGGCCGTGACGACACCAGGAGCTCTCTGGTGGAGATGGCCCAAACAAGGACGGCCAAAGACACGGCAAAAGGTGTCGAATCTCGGTGGGAATCTCGGTGGGAATCTCGGTGGGAATCTCAGTGGGAGTCTTGGTGGGAATCTTGGTGGGACACTTGACGATACACCTGGTGGGACATCTTGTGGGACATCTTGTGGTATTTTTGGTGGGAATCCGACGGCGCTGGCAGAACATGGCTGAGGAGAAACGGGGTCTTGAGGCAAGCCGGCGGCTATTCGCGGGATTGCTGCATCGCCAGGGGTGCTGGGTCGCGCCGGAGATCCAAGATGTTGTATCAATTCACGATACCATCGTAGCTTGCCGCCGGCTCTGCCATGATTCTTCCGCGGCGCGTGAGAGTCGACAAGGGCCAGAAAATGCAGAGTTCGTAGGCTCTGACTAGCCAGCACGCCTTGTTGGAACGCATCATGACCAGGGTTATGAAGTATAAAAGCCATGGTTGAGCCCGGGTTGCACAAAACAAGACGCCATCCGCAAGCCACTCGCAAATCATTCGCAATCCATCGTTCGAAACAAGACTCGATAATCAAGCAGGATCCTTGGGCCTCTGTGAGCTCCGCCGCTGCACCACCTTTTCGGACGGAAGGCTGACCAAAAAATTCAGGCAATTCAACATGTGCAAAGAGATGATCGCACGGCGGACTTTCCTTTGCCGCCATGTACTCGACGAAGGGTCGTATCTAATCCCTTGGGACAATTGCGGGGGATGCAGCGTGAAAAAGTCGACGGCGTACTTGGGTCAGTCCACCAGCAGGGACCCTTGCCCCGACTGCCAGCACAGCAAAGCCTGGGTCAGAGACAGAGCAACCAGGGGCTGGAAGAAGGCCTGAGACAGGGCCGGTTCGGAGCTTGCGCCTATTGGATCTCATGGGACATGTCATGTTTGCTTAGTCAGATTCCATTCTCCACTTGCCTCGACGTCCCTCGTGTATAAGAAGTGCGTCGAGGCCGACAAGCAAGCGACAGACTAGGTGACCCACCTGCCCACTTAGCCCATCTACCCCATTCAAGATGCCGTCCGTTATCGAGGAGCTGCCCAAATCTCTTGCCAAGTTGGAGTTCATATCTCGTGGCGCAACAAGCTGGGTCTATAAAGTCGACAAAGACCTGGTACTCAAAGTCCCCAGACGTCAGGCAATCCAAGCGTTCAAGGACGAGGGCATAGTCTACGACGAGCTCGAGAAGCGCGAGCCTTGTCCCCATCTCCTCCAGAGCATCTTCCGGTGCCCAGGGTTGTACTTCTTACCCTTTCTGAGCGGAGGGTCGCTGGATGAACGAATCAGAGGCAATCAGAGCCGTAGCAGGGACGGCTACATCGACGTATTGCGGACTACATCGCAGAAGCAGGCGGAGCAGTGGGCAATGCAGCTTGCTGGCGGGATGGCCTGGCTAGAATCACTAGGCTTCGTTCACGGCGACCTGAGGCCAGCAAATATTCTTCTTGATGGGGCTGACCACATCAAGCTAGCCGACTTCGACTCTGTCAGCAAGATCGGATCCATCTTCTTTGGCAGCGCACCCCCATGGGCTCGAGTGCAAGGGAATGAGGCCGGTGCAGACAAAGGCACGTTTGGCACCCAAGGGCCACGAACCGAGCAGTTTGCGTTTGGATCTATCCTATATACCATTATACGCGGATTCGCGCCGTACGAGAAGGAACGCGATAACGCCAAGGTCCTAGACTGGCTGCAGGATATGGAGTTTCCTGAGCTAGGCGAAAGCGCAACAGATTGCATTATCGATCGGTGCTGGAAAGGGCGCTTTGCCTCGATCCAGCTTCTTTTCCAGGAGACCGCTTTGTTGGAGGGTGCCACTACCTTGCCTCAGTCGACCGCGCTTGAGGCCAAGCATATGGCGGTGCTACAGGGACGATGTCAGCGCTTACTCGGCAGTGAATTGAAGCAAGTTGTGCAAGAATTTGGGACTGAGTGATGGCGGCGTTGGCGGGGAGAGAGGAAGACGTGGGATGTCGTCTTTATGTAAAATACTACGTCACCCCTTGCGTGTTGGGGCGGCGGTGCAAGGGGTAGAATCAGCGGAAGGCTGAGAGACCGCGGGACAAGCAAAATTATCTACAACCATTACATTATCTAAGTACTGAAGGAAGCAATAACTATGCAGAGCTGTGGCCTAACGTATAGGGATTCCGCGGAAGAACCTGTCGTCTCCTTAGCTCCTGATCCCTCATCTTCATCTTCATACCGTCCGGGAGAGATGCATAAATAAGGTCATTGCGATCAAACGGGGCATCCAACGTCAAGCCCTCGAGCGGTTTGACACGAGAGACAGCCACATAACTCAAACCAGTCTGAAAGTCCCGGCACCAGAGATCCGTAACGATCATATCTTCGGTGATACTTTGTGACTTGTGAACGGTGATAGCGTAGCATACGATCAGGGGAAACTGGGTGCGAGTGCAGAGAGAAACTCCGATGAGGAATTCCCTCTCTACTGGGAGAATCGGGACAATATTCCTGCCATCAAGGGTGGTCAGGAACACCGGTCCGCTGTACTTGTCAAACTCCATCATGATAACACAGGGAGGGTCTTGGGTAGGGTCAGCCCCGGGTGCCCAACCGATGTCGTAAACTGTTCCACGAGCTCCATTGCAGAGGCCAACTGGCTGCCAAAGATTAGACGTCAGCATCAGACGGGCGCCAATCATGCAGGGACGGACATCTTACGAATCTATCGAATCGAACGCCAAGACTTGGCGTTCGAATCGAATAGGGCCTCTGCAGATTCGCATCGAATCGAACATGGCTCCAGCAGATTCGCATCGAATCGAATGCGTGAAATTGGTTGCCCCTTCGATTCGACCTCGAATCGAACGTGTCCCCAGTAGATTCGCATCGAATCGAACGCGTGAAATTTCTTGCCCGTTTGATTCGACTCGAATCGAACGCGTGTCCCGTAGATTCGATACCTATCGAATGCCAAGGTTCGATCGAATTCGTATCGAATGCGATCGAACGTAGGACTTCAGCAGAGATTGGGGTACCAAACGTGCGTTTCACCGACATGTCTTTGTCACCATCACGAGGACTCCTACATCCCTCAACTTAAGAAGTGCCAAGGGGTGTAAAGACATCATGGCTGCAGCAGATGAGACGTCGAAAGCACGGTCAATTGCTGTCTTGACAAGCTGATTAAATGTCACTCCGCCCCTTCAGCGACGCAAGAGCATTAATCCATTGATCCTCGTTGAGGCTAAACAGCGGCAGTGAAGGCCTGTAGATCCCAGCTTTACTCCACGATCGAATGCATTGAGCCATCGCTACGATCTCCCTCCGCAGCCGGCTTCTCAATGGTGCCGTCATACGTCCTGCACTGCTAAACGTCCTCTCGCTTTCCGCGGACGTCGATGGAATCGTAAGCATGTCTACTGCCATCAGAGACAGTCGCGGATATCGGCTCCGGTTGATCTTCCACCAGTCAATCGGTCTGCTTCTGTAGTGGTGGCTGTTGACGACGTCCTCGGCACAATATCGAGCATATTCGTCATCACCAGTCGCTCCCGCCGTAGACGGTTTCGTCTTTCGGTTGCTTTTGCGGGCACCCGATGCTCCGAACGAGCCCTGGTTGAATGGCGACGCAGCTACAGTCCTAGCAAGTCTCCGCTCAATGTAATCCATGGAGGCCTCATCAGACGTAGCGAGGACCTCGTTGTCAACGTCGCGCTCCCTATACTTCTCCCAGATCTCCAAGAGCTTTGCTTCGTATTCCAACCGCCAACTCTTCGTCTTCCGAGAGGGTACTCGAGACCACAGTTGATCGAGAAGGCGCCACTTCTTCGCAGGATTGAAGACAACAGCCCCGACATATGCAGCGCTAGTCAGACGGCTGTAATATTTATGCAGCTTCTTCCATCCGAGCTTGATATAGGCCTTGAGCAACCTGCGGGTCCTGCTATCGAGCCCGTCATAGATGGCTACTTCGACGTCCTTCTTCTCCCTAGTCACTGGATCCTCAACCTCTTCGAAGATTGTGCCTTCGATAGCACTTTCGAGGTGGTCAAGCAAAATCTCAAAGACGGGGAAGTATTCATCGAAACTGCCACATGTGGACCTACCGCCGGGAACACCACTGCCCTGAAGTTGCTTGGTGGAAATCTCGAACGGCTTCAGAAGCTTGACAAGTACCTCGATAACTTTCCAGTCGTACGCACTTAAGCGGTACTGCAGAACTGCCGGCTTCGTTCTGTCACAGAGGCCCTCGGTTTCCCACCGGTTCTGAAACGTCATTGAAGAAGGTATTGAGCGCCGGGCGGAGTCGAAGAGCCCGTTCCATCATACGCATGTCCGAGTTCCACCGGGTGGCATTGTTGAAGGCCCAGTGAAGTGTTGTTCCGTGGCCGGATTCCTTGCGTTGAGACTGAAGAAACTGTTCGTACAGCTGTGTGTTTCGCAGCTGAAGACCGATGTTATGGAGTATTCCAGGGGCGCCGTTCTGACTGTACTCCCTGAAGGTGGCAGCATTGATCTCCTCCGGAGCCGGGTGGGACGATATGAGGTCCTCATCTGGGATTTCAACGGCAGTGTTTGCTCCTGGGTCTTCGTCCGTACCGTCCTCCATCTCTCCATTTAGGGCCTCGTCGATAGCTTGATCAACTTGCTCCTCGTCGTCATCTAGATCGTCCCCATCGGCAGCAACAATTGCAGCAAAATTCTCTTGCTTCGAACCGTACAGCATTGCCCGCACACAGAGGTTGAGGATATGTGCAGCGCAGCGGATCCGTCGCTCTTCGGGTGAGAAGCCGTGCTCAAAGGCAAGGTCTTCCATGCAGGTGTCATTGTTGGCAGCATTGTCCAGCGTGAAGTAGCCGACCGTGTCCGGGTTGTTGACTTGCCAGAATGCCAGTGTATCGGCGACCTCATCGGCAAGCGAGGCACCGTTGTGCTTACCCAAGAGAGGTCGCAGCCCAAGAAGGATGCGGTGTTGGGCAAAGTTGTGATCAATGAGTTGAGCATTGACGCCCAGAAATGCAGGGTAGAACTTGGATGTCCAGCCGTCGAAAGAGAAGTGAACCTGGGATCGAGCGGTGCGAAGTACTTCCGTTACGGGCCCGACAGCACCTCTGTATTCAGATTCGAGCATGCGAAGTAGCGTCTTCCCAGATGGGATATGGGTCGCATCAAGGAGCGGATTGCCGTAGAGAAGGAGCCGTTGGAACCTCTCGGTGTTGACGATATCGAATGGCAGATTATGGTATGTGATCCAGTCGAGTAGGAGCACCCGGAGCCCTTTGCTGTTGAATCTTCCACGCAGCTTGCTGACAAGGAGCTGGTCGTGCGGGTTATTGAAGTCGGCACCAATGAAGTGTGTGATGGGCCGGCCGTCCAGAGATGAGGCTCGCACGCCTCCTGCAACGTCGTTTGGGGCCTGCCAGGTGAACACTCATGTTGCTGGCATATCTCCGAACGGCACACACTTACCAGAATTCCGTGGGCGTTACGAAGGTGCTTCTTGATAGCGGCTCCTGTCGAGCAGACGAAGCAGAAGTCTGACTTCTTCTTGAAGCCTCGAGCGAAGCAATCCGCGCAGATCCACTTCAGCCTGTTGCCCTGGCGCGAGGTGGACCGGTCCTCAACACGATACCCGTATTGCTGCCACCACGCCCTCGTGTCCTGGCCGCCAGTATATCGCTCGAATCCAGGCCATTTCGCCCACTCTTGGCGGCCCCAGAGCGTCCAATCTACTTGTATAAAGTCGGCAGCAGTACCGCGAGAACGAGGTGATGGAGTCGTCGGCAACGAGGTTCCTTGGGATGATGCGGGTGGTAAAGACAAGTACTCCACATGCTCAATCAGACCTGACCGATTCGACGGGGATGGGCTTGACAGTGGTTCGGATGACATCACAACGTTGATTCGATCGTGCGAATTGAGCGAGCGCGCCGACAGATGAAGGTAGAAGCCATCGAGGCTTCGCCGGCGCTCAACTCATGCCCCCATCGTGGCAACGAAGCTCGGCGAAGCAGGCATAAACGCGTCCCACGCGCGTGTAGACGCGGGAAGGGGGAAAAAGAAAGAAGAGAAGAAAACCCGTCGGACCGCAATCTCCGTTGCACACTAAAAGGACGTACGTTGCAGTAGCAGCCGTAGGGTATTGATTCTTGCAGGCTAGGCCATATCCAACCTCCCAGCCAACGGCTTTACAGGCGCGGATAGCATCCTGCTTGGATTTGAACGTGGTGGAGTAAACGGCATCCATTGGGGCGGCGGCATCAATTGGTGCGGCTGGGGCGGCGGCGGCGGCGGCAGCGGTTGGTGCAGTAGCAGCGGAATCCATTGGTGCGGCGGTGACGGCGGCGGTGAGATATCGCGAAAAGCTTCACGTTTGATGCGGTACATGTGTGTTATGTTGCGCGGGCAAAAATTCTGCCAAGATTGAATGAAGTGAAGGTGCTAAGGAACGAGCATTTACAAATTTGCGGTATCGGCGCTACGCCACACGTTCTCCACCTTTCCGTGGATAATTATCCTGAAGCAGTGGATTGATAACTGGTCCCTATAGGAATCTGCTTTGCAAGGTTGCCTGCCGTGTCGTCAGGAGCAGCAGCCGCCCCAAGGCCGACGTTCTTAGCTGTAGCCCGGATAACTGGCCGGCTGAGGCGACGTAGGCTGGGTTCCGGATCTGTCCTTAGCAGGCGATAAGCCAGCTTCTCCGTCCGTTCTCTTCGGGGCAGGTCTCTCAGCTGAGGGAGGACCGACGGCTAGGTCCCTCAGCGTCAAGATCGCGTCTCTGGATCTGGAATACTTCATTCAGTTAATATTGATCCTCCAGATTGTGGAGACAGAGTTGACATGAGAGTCGTTCTTATTACGACAATCGAGGCAGTTCTTCGTGTTCGCAGCAGATTTCCTTCTGCTGACGAAGTCACCCGCCGGTCTCTCCTCGCCACAGCGGGCACAGACAATGGAAATTATGTCCATTGTAGAGCTCCCGGGAAGTAGATTTAGGACTCATTGCCTAAAGAAAAGAAGACACGTAGAAGCGTTGAGGCGGACGAAACGGTCATCTTCAGCTAAGCGTGACATAAACAAACCATTTTCTGAGTAAAAAATACCTGGGTTGCCGCCGAATACGCCGTCACAGGAGTAAGCAAAGCTGTAAATTTCTGTGCTACGAAGATGCAACAATGCATTGATGTATGTATGTGTATTTCACCCGGAGGATTTCTCCTATAGGGCCTAGACGTAAAAGCTACTGACATTTCAATACATTAATGCGTAACACCTTAAGCCCCACGGGTGCATTGATGTAGTAGTAGGATTTATTTCGCCCGGAGGGAGGTCCCTATAAGGACTTTACACTGTCTAGAGTACAGTTCAACACGTTTGTTCCTTGACTCCCCAAGCCCCACAGATCATCTTACGCTGCGCCAACCGTACCACTGTTTTCGCTTCATGACAGACCTGCTTGAAGGTCAATTTCTCCAAGTGTTCAGCATCCTATTCCCAGCAACTGAAGCGCGATGTGTCGAAGTTGAAGCGTGGTTGTGTTAGTCATTGATGGTGGTTGGTACGCCGATTGTGTTTTCTCATGACGCTGTTCCCTGTTGACGGGCGGGAACCCGGGTGTGCCCTGTTCGCCCAGGGGTGCCTCCAGCCGGCTTCGAGCCGACCCCTCTGCGACGCAGAGGCTCCGCCATGGAGGCTGCATTGATGTATGTATGTGTATTTCACCCGGAGGATTTCTCCTATAGGGCCTAGACGTAAAAGCTACTGACATTTCAATACATTAATGCATAACACCTTAAGCCCCACGTGCATTGATGTAAGGCGCGCGCTGTGAGGTCTGTTGCGGCAAAGGTGGGGGTAAACTTCCCTATGGCAAAGCAACGGGTAAACCTTTTGGGCCAATCAGAAGCGTTTCGTACGGTACGAATAATTCTACGGCGTACAGTATACATCGGATCTGACCAATCATAACGTAGTCGCGGGTGATCACCGGGTAAATCTGACCAATGATGGTTCTGAAAATTAATAATAGGGCCAATCAAAACGCTGTGCTAGGAAAAAGTGGTCCCCCAAAAAACCTGCTTAAAGAAGCTCCGCTGAATTTGCGCACTGCGTGTACTTCGTCACTTTGTAGCACAATTTACAGCTTCGCTTAACAAACCGCGATATGGTGCAGGGGTCATGACCCACTTCTCTGGAGCCATTAGCCAATTGCCGAACGATTTGCGGCTGGCAACACAAAACTTGGGCCAATCAGAGCCTGAGAAACATATTGTATGGGCAGCACCAAAACCCTCACTATTCAGACGAGAGGAAGGCTCGCCAGCCGCGGCTCGCGCAAAGAAGCCTTTCGGAACGAAATTTGGCGACAAGAGAACCGGAGAAGAGTTGGCTACAGAAGAGAGAGAGTTGGCGACAGTAGATAGGAGACAGGAAGAAGAGTGAGGTCGAGATACGAGACACGGCGAGAGACGTAGAGCATTATCGTGAGTGAAACCGAGACAGAGCGTCGGGAAGGCAGGCTAGGCCGCTGGAGGAAAATTTGGTTTAAAAAGGCGCAAACTCAAAGGGCGTGGAGAGACGGCAGGGTTGAAGAGAGATGTGAGTGGGTAATGCATGTCTGGGCGAGTGGAAGGCTCGGAAAATTTACATGTGCTACCGGTATAAGTCGTAGGTATAAACAGAATAAGGAGTATATTGGGAAGTTTTGACTTGATCGTCTTCATGAAAAGGAGAACAAGAAGAGAAGAGAATGTGCTATTCGAGCCTTTGGCAGTTGATTTTGAGGATGATGAGACATGTTGTCATGTTGTATTGTTTCGTTTGATGCTTTAAAGTTCAGAGAATATTCTTGGGCGGACGTCGGGCGCGCAGTGGTCGGGAAGATATCGACGCGGGAGGTCTGATAGAGCCAGAGGCGGATGTGTCTTGGTGATTGACCTGTTCGGTGTCCGTCTCTGACTCTGCGGGGTCTTCCGGGGACAGAAAGGAGGAGGTATCGGATTTGGGGGAGTCTTGACCGTCACAGTCGGTGATTATGGTGGAAGTTTCGGGAGAAAGTCGCGGTCTCTTGGTTGGGGTTTGGTAGGGATCGGGCAATGACCGACTTGATGCCAGCATAAGGATCGACTGGGCCAGAAGCATGCGGCGTGGGGAGGCGGGGCTTTGGGCGGCCTTGGGTTTCTTCGTAGAGGTAAACCTGGCCAACGCAACGCTATAGTCCGAGGATTGCCGACCGCGCTCTTGGGTGTCGTCGGCAGTAGTTGTGTTGCAGAAGCCTGGTCGGACATGGCCTTGTCGTGGAAAGTCCACGTGTCGGGGACGACGATGAAGATATAGTCTTGGTCGAAAGCCGGGGCATGTTTCATGATCTGGTGATCCAGTAAGCCGGCGATTTTGCCCGTACAGGTGAAGAGAGCGTTCGACTGGAACTGGCTGTCGCGCCTCTCGGTCATCTTCTTGCAGGGAGGTCCAAGGATTAGCGTGAATGGGGAAGATGACGAAAACTTGGAAGGGTGAAAGCCCTTGAAGGGGGTTTTGCCGGGAATCCCAGGACAAATAAAGGTGGAGAGCTGGACAAAGCCGCAGCAGCTCAGCTGGGTGTCGTCAAGGGCCGCAGCCGAGTTTCCATGCAGGAGGTCGCGGCCGGAGCCGATGACAGGTCCCGTGAAGGAGACAATGGGTTGTATCGTTGGGAAAGTATCCACCGAGCTGAGGGTGCGAGTGACAATTCTATGGATATCGTCAGGGAGGGCAGTGGCGACAGAGAGATTTGGAGCATAGACTCACGGTTGGTAGCTGTGATCGCGGACTATAAGCGCGGGGACGGTGTATTCTGTGATGTTATCATCGTCCGACTCCAAGCCATCACGTCGCTCGATTTCCACGTCAGGGCAAAGGGATGAACACGGCCGACCATGAAGAACCATTGCTCGGTCCATTCCGAGGAGATTATCTGTTGGTTGTATATGGAAATATTAAGGCTGAAGAAGATGCAGGTCGATGGATTGCCAGTATCTGACCGGATTGCTGCATACTCCGGAGTCGACAGCCATGAGGGCGTGGGAAGGAAGACCCTCGCTAGGGTTTCTGCGTTGAGCTCTTTGACACGATGCTCATTCTGGTAGGCGAACCTAGCCGGGCAGCCGGGCTGGACAAAGGCCATCATGGACATGTCGGCGCCAGCATTTTCTGGCTGTCAAGAGGTTGCCGCGGGAGGACGAGGTATCGACGTTGAGCTGGGAGGCCGACATCGTGAGAACATGGCAGATGTAGTCACCGTGGAAGTGTAAATGAGGGGTTACGCAGAGTGGAGGTGGGCATCCTATAAAGCAGGTTTTCTTGCTGCTCGAAAGAGGGCTCGCGGCTAGGGTCGGGAGACTTAAGAGTCAGAGAATGCTACCTAGGTGATAGATCAGAAGCGGGGGTATGCGGGAATGAGCTGGCGAGGTTCTTGAACAGTCTCGACCATCTGGTTCTATGGTCGTGAGTGAAGTAGGGAGCCGGGGGTTGGAAGTTGAGTAGGGGTGATGGCTATGTCGCGAGAAGTTGGAGGTCGGCGAACAGTAAGGTTAGTGTGGGTAAGTCTGCGGAGAAAGAAAGTCCAGCAGTACCCTTCGGTGTCATCGTTGCATGGAGTAGATAGCAAAGGCGACAATAACGAATGAGAGTGAAGGAAAGAAAGAGGTTATGGTAGTATTGCAGGGGTCCCTTTTTGACGGTCGTCGGTAGTTGGATGGGCATTGCGTGCGGCTGAGCGAGGCGGGTGCCGACCGTGTCGAGTCCACTATTGGGACACGGTGAAGTCGGATATAGGGGACGAGCTGAGGAGGAGGATGCGAGTTGGTCACGAGAACTCTCAAGAGGGCTTGCAAGTCGAGACTCCGGTGGCTAGCGACTACAAGAGGACAGGCAGGGGGATCCTGGCTGTCGCTTTAGCATGAAGGCCGTTGATGCGACGTTGGTGGTGGCGAGGGAGCAAACCTAGCCGGGTAGTCCGGTTGCACGAGGGACACCGTGGACATGTTATCGCCGGCAGCCTTTTGGCTGTTGCTCGACGAGGTGGAGTGGCAGATATTGATGGAGCAACTGATGCGCAAGGTGGGTGGGACGGCGTTGGAAGGGCCGGAGAGTATGGTTGGAAGTGTGCGGCGGGCGGTTGGCGCGGCCACCCCCATGTGCCGGAGGTCGGCAGTAGCCAGGGATTCGCTGGAGTGCGCAAAAGAGAGCACGGCGATGGAAGGGCCGCCTTTGGCAAAGCTGGGGTAGCAGGTCGCACGTGGAGACCAGCCGAGGGCCGGGACGGTGGACGCACATAGGGAGGGTAAATGGGGGATTACAAAGGGGTAGTAGTATTGCATCGCTTCGGTACCATAGGCAAGCATTATAAGGGAAGAAACGCCACGGCCATGAGAGTAGTGATCGTTAGGAAGCTTCCCACTCGGAAAGAAATAGTGTACGCCAAGAAGCGAGATTATCCAAGTGGAAGTGCTCCGGAGCCAAAACTTTCTAGCTTGTTGCCAATCCACGCTAGTCGACGTCGAGGAGGCAGTAGCATGGCGGACAGTCCTGCAGGGAAGCTAGGCGAGGCGGCCGCTCACCGTGGAGCCTGTTCGTTGTCAGTCGAGGATGGAGAAGAGGGTAGGAACGGGGGAGTGCCTGTTTCGGGGTGCGGAGATGATACAGGGCAACTCCGAGAAGGGGCACGGAGCACGGGAGACAAGGTTGGGGCGGTTCGGGAGATACAGATCAGTGGCGAATGAAGCATTAACGTTCCGGCTGATTCAGCCTAAGCAGTCTGCGGTCGAAGAAACCGCATGGAGAAAGCATGCAGAGGCGATCGCAAAGTCACTGCCGAGAAGACCGCCGCGAGGCGGTTTGCGGTCAAGCAGAGCACGGAAGTCCCGTAATTTGGTCAGCAGCGGAAATTCCGCGCAACGTCAGTCACCGAGTCCGCTTCCGAGGTTCGTGTTGCCTACAGAACGTGGAGACCAGGGGCAGTGGGCTCTAACAGTCCGCCCTTCATCGGCCGTTTTGCCCCAGGAGAGGGTCCTGAAGGTGACGGGCAGGGAGATAAGGCGGCGACCGGCGGTGTCCCGGGTGTTCGTTCGAAAAGGGACCGACGCTCCGACCTATCCAGCCCAAGGATACGACTTTCCAAGACCTAAGACGAACGGCGCAATTTGCAGCATCGATTGCATGGGGTTTGCCCAAGCTCCGTCGGGGACCGGTTCGGCGGCCAAGGGCACAGGTGGGTGTGGACGATGGCGCAGCAGAGGCAGCGGACGGCTCGCTGCGCGGACAGAGGCAGTCCCGGAGGCGGAGAAGAGAGCCCGTCTTCCTAGCCGGGATGGGCGCCCGATAAAACAGGTCCGAAGTGGAATCGGAAGGCATAGGAGACGGGAGCTGCAGGCCGAAGACCTGGCGAGTGTGCTGCGCTTTTTGGAGGAAGACTTTGCCTTGAAGGAGAGATTGTCTAACGATCAGACGTGGTGCACGCCAATACCGCTCGAGAGGAAGGTGTCGACGGTGCGAGACTTCTATCAGGCGTTCCACGATGCGAGCACGTTGCCGATACGGACCTGCATGGTGTGCTACCGCAAGTGTACGAGAGGAGAGTTGAGGAGATTACATGGGATCATTGGCTGTCAAGTTGCGTACCAAAGGGCGGCCGCTCACCATTTTCATGCCGGAGTTGCTTTCCTGAGGGCGAGTCCGTGTCGGTGTGCGCCGAGTGTGGCCGATGCCTGGCGCGCAGGAGCCTGTCGCCGGCGATCCACCTTCACAGTCGCCTTGGCTGCGAGCACATGTTCCCTGACGAGCTCAAGGGACTGACGCCGGTCGAAGAGAAGCTCATCTCGCTGAACTCGTGTTACGGGTTTGTCACGAGATATAGCATTCCGGGCGGGCAGAGGCAGAGCGTGAAGTATCCGAGGCATGTCAGGGGCCACATCACGGTGTTTCCGAACAATGTGCAGGAGCTGGCCACCAAAGTGCTCCCGCACCCCCTTTTGCAAGCACTGGACGAGATCCACATCTCGTGGCAGGGCGCGGAGAAGCCGGCACCGAGCGACCTGTCGAGTCTCTTGTCGGTGAGGCGGCGGGTGGTCGAGAGGGCCCTTGTCTGGCTGAAGCGGAACAACCCCCACTACGCCGAGATCGAGATCGACGCGGCGGAGATGGGGAGCTGGGGAGACTCGATACACGGGGTGTGACGGCCTAGCACCGTCACACCCCCTTTGCATACATGACCCACATGTTGCTGAGCCAACGGCCCACACGTACGGAAGGCATATTTAGGGAGAGGACACCCAGTTGTATTGTTCTGTTCTCCTTTCTCTTCTTCAGAGCAGAATCTTCGTAATAGAGTCCACAGCCTTCTGGCTCAGTCCGTGACCGTCACACTATTCTGCTCTCTACCACGCCATCGCTGCCGAGCGATTCATAAGAACGCCACGACTTTACCCCATGCCAAGACTGCGCTCGGCCGGCCCACTTGAACAGGACACGGCCCTCCATAGATCGCAGCTCCCACGACCCGTCTTACCAAGCATCGAAGATCAAGACCAAGACCAAGACCAAGACCAAGACCAAGACCAAGACCAAGACCAAGACCAAGACCAAGATCAAGATCAATACCAAGACCAAGACCAAGACCAAGACCAAGACCAAGATCAAGACCGAGATCAAGACCAAAGAAACAGTTCAGGGACCATCGAATCGCACATAACCATCCAGGAAGGACAGGGACCTAAAATGGCTGACAGAACCAATCAGGAGGGCAGCAGCGGCTTGTTCACCGAATTGTCTCCCGAGCAGAGACAGCAATTAACCGACCACATCAGCCGAGAAGTGGCCCGTTTGGTCGCCCAAGTACGAGTGACCGAGCCAAGAGACAGCCAATATGGTGAAGATGAAGTCAGCACACCAGGCCAACGGGAAGGAACAGCCTTTGACGACCGCGAAGAATTCCGGCCGTCAGGATATGCGGCCCTTTTAGCCTTCCGGAGATATGAGTCGATGGATGGCACCAACCCAAACTATAGAGAGGGACGGAAACGTCGGGAGAGAAACCCACCATGTTCTCCGGCGAAGGACTCCTCGTTTGAAAGCTGGATTAAGCAAGTAGAGGGCAAGTTCGAGGAGGACAACGATACTTTCGCCTCTGAGAAGACGCGGATCAACTTCGTGATTACGCGTCTCGAGGGCACCGCGTATAAGACCGTAGAAGGACGCCACCACTCGCTGACTCGGCCTTTCACAACATTGGCCGAACTAATCCAGGTCCTCCAGACAGCGCACACAAACCCAAACAAAGGCGCCGACGCCCGCGCCCAGCTGCGTGTCTGCAAATACGATTGGAAGAAGGACTTCAATATTTTCTTGGGGGAATTCAACTCCATGTACGAGGCGGCGGGGTACCAACCTTCAATGCAGAAACAGACCCTGTGGGACTCTCTTCCTGCTCCGGTCAACCAAGCGGTGGTCGAGAGGGTCTACGATACGAAAGTGCGCTACGAGGACTTCTGTGAGTCAGCACAGCACCAGGTGTTCGTGGCCCGCCACAACTTTTCCGAAGCGCAAAAGAAGCGCAACCACTCTAGTAGTAGTGGTGCCCGAGGGGTTCGGAACAATGGCGGCAACCGTAACAATGCCCGTGGTCGCCACCGGGAACAAACTGGCAACGAAGGGCTAGCCGGGAAGCTGGAGGAACCGTATCTCCGAGGAAGAGAGGAACGTCGCCGCATCAATAACCTGTGCTACCGGTGCGGAGAATCTGGGCATATCGCCCCATTCTGTCGCACCCGCAACAACAACACCCGGAAAGGCAACCACGAAGACCGTGGAGAGCAGGCGGCCCCAGTCAGCGCAGCGACAACCAACACCGCCACGGGCAAGGGCAAGGTTTGCGACCCAGACTCGAGCAGTTCGGAGTCGGAAAACGAGTAGGCCAGGACAAAGTCTCGTTCCTGGCCGACTTGGTGTCTGTGATTGGAGCGGCGGATTTGGACAGACTCATAGGGGGCAAACAGCTGACAATCTCATCTCGCCTTAAATTGAACAACATGTCTATTCTCATTCGTGCCCTTGCAGACACCGGAGCGAGTATGTATCTCGCCATTAACCATAGGTTAGCGAGAAGAGCGGCCTCACAACTTGGGGCCCAGAGGAAGAGGCTTGATCAGCCAATTCACCTAAAGGATTACGCGGAGTCAAGCACAAACACCCGATCAAGGAGGTTTTTATGGACTTCGAGATTGATGGACGACTCTAAAGAACTTACCATTCTTGGTCGTCCGGATGGACTACGACATCATCATTGGCAGGAAATGGTTTGAACAACACAGGGTCGCCGTTGCGCCTGGACTCAGGAAACTTCTCTGGTCATCAGGACGGGAAGGCGCGACGAGATTATCGGGCCGAAGACGAGACAGTCTGGGAAGCCGTCCTGGCGAAACCCGACGATTCCAACCACGCGAGTCGACGCCGATAATCCGCAGCAAATCCGCGCTGTTTCCGGTACGGAGCCTATCCAAGGAAGGGGAAAACGGACGACCAAGAGGACGTCATCCGTGACTGTGGTCGCCTTGCTACCGACCAGCGTCTGGCCGGCCAGGAGAGCAATGCCGGCGGGCCGCCAACGTGTTCGGCACAAGCGCAAGCCCCAAGAATTCATGAACTAGCGTCTCCGGGAGCAAAGGGGACCCAAGTCGACCAGAGTCAATTGCCACAGGATGGACCACCCCACGACCACGACTCTGCAGGCCGACGGGGTGGTTGCCAGCTTTCTAAACCCGCAACAGGACCGGGAACTTCAGGGCTGCTGACAGCCCGCCTTAAGGAATTCAGAGTGCATCGCGCCTCGGAGAATTGGCTCGAAGAAGTGTTACGGTGGCTCACGTGAACCCGCAAACGCCAGAGATGCCTAAGGTACCACCGAAGGACACCCGCCCAGTTATCCCACTTCCACGGGGTGAGGATGACGAGACGGTCCGCCTGATCAAAGAGAAACTCCCGACCCCGCTGGGCCATCTGGCTGGATTTTTCTCGAAGAAGGAGTCTAACCAGTTGCCTCCTCTCCGCGGCCCAGGGAGGGACATGAAGATCTACCTGACCAAGCCATTGCCAGAGCGTTCGAGAGGTGTCTACCGCAACCCACATCATCTAGACGAACTACTCCGAAAGACGATTCAAGATTACCTGGACAAGGGTTTCATCGAGAGCTGCTGGCCTGGATTTGCCTCACCAGCCTTCTTTGTGCCCAAGGGTGACATGGGCATGGATTGGAGATTCGTGATCGACTACCGGGACCTCAACGACGCCAGTGCAAAGATGAAGTACCCCATGCCTCTGTTAGAAGATACCCTGGTAAAACTAGCAAGCGCCAAGTTTTTTACAAAAATCGACATCCGTCAAGCCTTCCATAGGTTGCGAATGGCCCTCGAAAGTATGGATCTGACGGCATTTCGGTGCCGGCTGGGAACTTTCCGTTGGAAGGTGATGCCCTTTGGGCTGACGAACGGCCCAGCAATCTTTCAATGCTTTATCAACGACTGCCTGAGGGATATCCTGGACATCTACTGCAGTTCGTACGCCGACGACATCCTGATCTATTCAGAGTCGGCCGAGGAAAACGTGCGCCAGACCGAGGAAGTCATTCGACGACTGGCAGCGGCAGGCCTACAGGGCGACATCAAGAAGAGCTCCTTTGCGTCACCGAGGTGGATTACCTCGGGCTGGTGATTAAGGCGGGGAAGGTATCGCCCTTGACCCTAAGAAGAAACAGGCCATCCTTGAGTGGAGGCTGTCGGACCTAAAATCTACGAAAGCCATCCGATCTTTCCTCGGATTGGTTAACTTTGTCCGACGCTTCGAAAGAAGTAAGCGAGCTGGCGCACCCGCTCAACGAGCTCCTAAAAAGGGGCAATCTTCAAGATCGGCAAGCAAGAGGAAGCGGCTTTGAAGCACTCAAGGAAGCCCTGGTCCGAGCTCCCGGAATGGGCTTCTGGAAGATAGGCGCCCTGACTCGGATAGAGACTGATGCGTCAAAGCATTCGGTAGGCGCCACCGCTTTACAACAACAGAACGACAACTCATGGAAGCCGGTGGCCTACTTCTCCAAGACCTTGTCGTCAACAGAGACGGTATGGCCTATCCAAGACCGAGAATTCCTCGCCATCATCCGCGCCCTAGAAGAGTGGAGGCCAGAGCTGGTTGGGGCCCTTTGAAGTAGTAACGGACCATGAAGCTCTCAAGTACTTTGCGACAAAGCGGGTTTTATCATCTCGACAAGCCCGTTGGGCACAGATTCTGTCGGAATTTGACTACAAGATGACATACCGACCCGGAAGGAGAACATAATTGCAGATGCCCTGTCCCGGAAAAGCGAGAACTTCGAGACCGTCAGAGCCAGAGACCTGGATTCCCGCACCATGGAACTGGTCCCGAACGATCGGGTACCCGCAGAAGTTCTCGAGGAGACACATGTCGAAGCTGCTCCCCTAGACATCGCGGCAAATTCTGAGGACCGCGGCCCAGCAGTACCTGGGGAGGCACCAGCCGGAGTGTTCCTTGTGGAGCTGATTGTCCGGGAAAATGAGAAACAGATTCCCAAGGAGGACCGGCGGAAGGGAGATCGTATCTGGGTGCCGGAGTACTCGTCAGAAGGGCTCGCACTGCGAACTGCCTTAATCCGGAAGTCCACGAACCCAAATCAAGGGGTCATCCGGGAAGAACAAGATGAAGGCGATGCTGCGGCCGTTCTATTACTGGCCACGTATGGATGAGGATCTCGCGCGCTACGCACGCAATTGCCAGGCATGCCGTAGGAACAAGGTGTGGAAAGATAAGTCACCTGGATTGCTCCATTCGTTGCCCGTCCCAGAGGAACCTTGGCATACCGTGCTGGTGGACGGAAAGGACATGCCGAATGATCGAAATGGATTCGACTACGTTTGGACGTTCATCTGCAAGCTGAGCAAGCTGATTCTCACGATTCCGGGAAAAGACAGACACCGCCGAAAGACTGGCCAAGCGATATTACCGCCGCGTGTTTGGTCACCTCGGTCTACCGAAGATTTGGCTCTCGGACAACGGACCACAGTTCATTTCGAAATTCATGGCCAAGGTCAACGAGATGACGGGAACAGAGCACAAATTCGGCAGTGCCTACCATGCGCAGACTCAAGGAGGCGTGGAGATTACCAACCAGTATCTTGACCAACGCTTGACGTTTTACGTGTCGTATTTTCAAGACGATTGGAGTGAGCATCTGGCGGCGTTAGACTTCGCGCATAACTCCACGCCGCACGACTCAACAGGCATGACTCCGATCGAGGCCTCCCAAGGGCGAGCACCCCACGCGGCTTTCGTTCATATAGCGACCGACAAGCAGGTCGGGATTGGACCGACGCCCAAAAGGCAGCCAAGGACTTTGTGAATCGAGCCAAGAAAGTTTGTTCGCTGGCAAAAAGGAACGTGGAAGCGGCTCAAAGGCGCCAGGAACGATCAGCCAATTTGAAGAGAAGAGTGCCCGATTTTGATGTCGGTGACTGGGTGTTTGTTTCGAAAAGGGGCTGGTCAACTGACAGGCCAACAACGCGGCTAGATTCTAAGAACGCGGGTCCGTTCAGAATCGTGGCAAAAAGGGGTCACTCATTCGAGCTGGACCTACCCAAAGGCATGAGGGTGGCAAAGGTGCTGCATGCCGACCGGTTGAGAAGGGCTGCGCGAGACCCGCTGCCGGGACAGCAGGTGGAAGCTCCGCCGGCCGAGATGATTAACGGCGAGCCAGAGTACGAGGTGGCGAAAATATTGTCGTCAAGGATCTCAAGGGGGAAATTACAGTACCGAGCCGAGTGGGCAGGACAGGACCCTGACGAGCTATACTACGACGCTGAAGGGTTCAAGAATGGTGCCGCAGCTCTCAGGCGGTTCCACGACGAATATCCCGAGGCACCTGGACCGCCTGTACGATTGGCAGAATGGCTGCTAGCCGCTGCGGAAGACAGGTGGGCAGAGAGTCACAACGATGACAACAAGGCTGTCGGCCGTGGGCATGAGCGACGGCGACTGCGACGACACTCGTGAGGAGCCATCTCCACCGTTGGTGTTCGACGGCTTTAGGGGTAGTGTGACGGCCTAGCACCGTCACACCCCTTTGCATACATGACCCACATGTTGCTGAGCCAACGGCCCACACGTACGGAAGGCATATTTAGGGAGAGGACACCCAGTTGTATTGTTCTGTTCTCCTTTCTCTTCTTCAGAGCAGAATCTTCGTAATAGAGTCCACAGCCTTCTGGCTCAGTCCGTGACCGTCACACGGGGTACCGTCGTCGGTGTGCGATCGTATGGAGCGGAACGAGCCGTCTGGGTGGGAGAAAGCGCGGACGGCGCACGTTGTGCCGCCCACGGAACGCGCCATGGACGAGGAGGGGCCGGTGGAGATCGAGGAGCTCTTCGCCCTGCTCAACCAAGGACAAGAAGCCGGCGGCCAGGGTGAAGGTCACGGGCCCAACGGAGAAGGCGCGGTTCGCGATGGAAGTGACGCCTGCCCCGACCAGAACGTTCCAGCGATCAACGAGGTGACGTCTTCTGGCATGTTCGCGCTCGACGGACCGCCAGACGTCGCGGACGTGGAGAAGCTGCAGTTTGCCTGTGACGCTGTTGGTGAAGGTGCCGACGACGGCCGTGCGGGCCCGAGAGCGTGGGTCGGGTCCCTAGCCGGGGGGGTTCGGGGGCGTGGCGACGGTGGTTGTGAGCCATACATCCGGGTTTCGCGGGGGGGTGAGTTTACCGATTCCTTTGAGGCGTCCTTCTTTGCCAGGACGTTCCCGACCCTGTTCCCATTTGGCGTTGGGGACCAAGGCTGGTTGAAGAGACCATGGTCGACGCGGGAAGGTCACGGCCAACTTGCGAGGCAGGGCTGTCGAGGCAGAGGCGGCCGCGGAGACCCTGTATCGTCTCGAAGCTTGAACCTTCAGGCGTGGGCCGAGATCGTGCTCCGGCGCCATGGTGGTCGATTTGCACTGCACCACATCTTCGCATTTCTCGTCTTCAACATGGGGGTGCGGTCGAGGAACCGCCGGGTCAGCATGTTGAGTGTGGGGAGGAAGAACTTCCGCAAGGTAGAGCGCATCGTGCGTTCGATGACCACAGAAAGGCTAGCGGCGGCGAGGGTCGAGTTGGAGAGCTCGGGTAAGACGACCGATGGTGACGTGAAGGAGCTTCTCAGGAGCCTCTCGCTTTACGGCCACCGGCAGCCCATGTCGAGAGGTCCGTCTCAATATGCGGCGGAAAATCCAGTCGCTCATCGTCGGATATGGCGTGCCGGCCATCTGGTTCACCATCAACCCGAACGACATTACGAACCCGGTGAAGCTGCGACTGGCGGCATACCGCACACGCGATCCCGACGCGGCCGAGGAGTTCTTAGAAGGCCTTGGGGATGCGTATAAGCGGGCACGGCTGGCGATATCGGATCCCATGAGCTCGGCCGTGTTCTTCCACCGCGAGATGAAGCTGTTCTTCGATCATTACGTGAAGGTCGGTGAAGAGTCGGTATTCGGGCGCATCGGCAAGTACTATGGCGCCGTGGAGACGAACGAACGAGGGCGCTTCATGTTCACGGCTTGCTCTGGCTGCACGGGAACGCGCATCTCAGCTCGATGCTTGCCGACATCCACGGGGAGGATCAGGCGGCGTATCGCGAGCGAATCGTCCGATACATCGATAGCGTCTTCTCAGAGGTAAGAATGCCTACCTAAGATGTGCCACCGGGAGCCTGAAGTACTCTTCTGATGGCCAAGTGGGGCCGGGTTGACGTGCAAGGCAGGATCTGGACCAGGAAAGTTTTTGCGCCGTGCAAGCGGAGCGATCTGTGACGGGCGGTATTGGTTCCCTGCTGGACAACGCCGCGCAGTTCTCGGCCGCGTTTATAGAGGACGCGGCCGAGCTCCTGGCCGCCTCAACAGGTGATGGCACGGCCAACGGAGGGCGGGACGGTGGCGGAGACGCTGCCACCGATGACCCTGTCAAGGGAACAGGACGCGACAGTTCCTGATGAGAGTGGCGAACCGCGTGTTCACGGAGCGTCCGCTATCACAGGTCGAGGTCGTCGCTCACCTTCTCGGATATCCGGCCGAGTTCACCGACAGCAGCGCGTGGGCGTACCTGAACTGTTCTCTGCTGTACTGGGAAGTCTTTCGGCGATGGCGGCATCTCCGAGAAGCCAGTGGCGCTGCGGCTACGGATGACACCTTGGATGAGTCGGTCGTCGTCGAAGAAGAAGGCCTGAGAATCTCCCACGTCGAGGCGTACCAGCACCGGGAGAGCTGCTGAAAGGCCTATGCCTGTATGACTACATATCGATCGTCAGACTGAAACGCATCGGCAACGACGAGAGCTGGGCGGCTTGGGGAGATGTCTTTCGAGGATGGATGGGCGCGAGACGACGCTGGGTTCAGGTGCTCAGGCGGCCGGGCAAGCACGCTACCGTCTGCCTCGACGGCTACCTGAGCAAGGACTTCACCTACGATGACGAGTCGTGCTACCGGAGGTGTGTATGGCAACTGCTCTGTCAGCGGGCATTATCGGAGAGGCTAACCCACCCCTGAAGGGCAGCCGTGCAGCATCTTGCGCTGTTCGTGCCGTGGAGTCCTTCCTGGGCGAAGGAACAGGTGAGATCAACAGCATCTGGGCGCGGGCTCGAGACGCTATGCCCCGAGAATATCATGTCTCGTCGACAACGTGCAGCTGCTTCGACGATCCGCCGAAGACGCAAAACGCGACGCCAAGCAATGGGCAGCCTCGTCCGGCGATGGCGACCCGACGGTCGCACACGTCGAGGAGGGTGGAGCAGGCGAGGCGGGCGCGGAGTCTGCAGCGACATATCAGCCCAACAGCATCGGAGACGCAACGCGGCTCATCGACGTCGTCCGAGGTGCAGTGGGAGCGAATCAGGTGACGGCCAAGTCGCCGGAGCTCATGGCAATGATACAGCAGCTCTGTCGGTTTCAGCAATCGGCGCTGCGCTCGACGGCCGAGCTCGAGGCCACGGCGCTGATCGAACGAGGAAGAGGCGGTTAAGCATGCCAGGGCGGGTATTTTCCGGGGCCGCACTACCGCCGCAGGATCAGGTCAAGGCTATCAAGTCGCAGCAGGTAAGTGCCTCGAAGGAGAGGGAGAGGATGATCCAAGGGATACAAAGCACGCCCGCCGCCTGGGAAAGCGATCGCCGCGCAGCGTTGCGAAGGGTGATGACCGGTTTCGGGGAGGACGAGGTCGAAATGACGATGGCCGACTCCGACGAGACCGCTATCGACGCAGGGGCGGGAATGGACGTTCAGTTTGGCCCATCAACCTCCTTCCTCGCGGCGGGCAAGGTGTTGGCAACACGGCTGACGCTGAACAAGAGGCAGTCCATCGCTTTTCTGATAATATGCCGCCAGCTCGATTTGATGCAGCAGACCGACGGGGGCGATGCCTGCCAGCTGCGCCAGTTCGTCGGTGGCGAGGGCGGTACCGGCAAGTCGCGAATCATCGAGGCACTCGTCGAGCTGTTCAGTAAAAAGAGCCTTTCGAATCGTCTGCTGATCACGGCGACGTCGGGGACTGCGGCGGCGCGGATCAACGGCATCACGATCCACTCCGCCTGCGGGTTCACTAAAGACCAAGGGGCGGGGGGCGCGAACATGGTCAAAGACCTTGACGGGTGCGGCTGCCGAAACAGGCGGAGCGGTTCATCCACGGCCAGTCTCGAATGGATTGGCAGGAGAAGGATGTGCTCGTCATCGACGAGGTGAGCATGCTCGGGGCGCGGACGCTGCACGCCGTGAACGAGCGGCTTCGCCGGCTTCGCGGATCGCGGCAAGATTTCGGGGGGATCCCCATCGTCCTCTTCTGCGGAGATTTTCAGCAGTTCCGGCCGGTCCAAGAGAGGTCGATCGTCCTGCCTAGCGCGGCCATCTCGTGGGACGTAGACAACTCGTTCAAGGCCGAGCAGCGTCACCAGCACGACAAAGCGCACGCACTGTGGAAGAGGTTCACGACGGTCGTCATGCTGGACGAGCAAATGCGCGCCGCCGGCGACCCGGAGCTGCAGAGGCTGCTGAAGCGGATCCGTCTAGGCGTGCAGGATCGGACGGATCTAAACCTCCTCAACTCAAGGTGCTACCGGGAGGGAAGGCGGATCCCTGGGAGACGGGCATCACCGTGGTGACGCCGCTCAATAGGAATCGGTGGAACCTGAACATGGAGGCGAGCCTGGCGTTCCGGGTCCAGCAGCGGTCGACGATGCGCATTTTCATCTCCGAGCACAAGTGGAAGGAGGAGCTGCCGACGGAGGAAGAGGCGATCATGATACTCAACCAGGGCGACGATAGCGCGATCCCGGTGCCGGCCGTCTTCATGTTCGTGGCCGGGATGCCCATCGTCGTGAACCACAACACCCACCAGGGGCTGAAGCTAGTGAACGGCGCGAGCTACTCGGCGGTGGAGGTCATTGTCGACAAGGCGTACCCGGGGCATCGGATCTCGGCCGATATGACGATCCACTTCGGCCGCCGGCGGGGATCATTCTCGAATCGGAGACGACGAGATATCTCCACTTCGTCGGGATGCCGCCGGGCACGATCTTGTTGACACCCATGACCGTTAAGATACAGTGCCAGCGAAAAAGGCCGTGGCAACGCAACGACGTCAGCCGAAAGGGTTTGCCGTGCGCAGCAGCGTTCGCGTGCACGGACTACAAGGTGCAGGGCAAAACGCTGGAGCGCGGCCCTCGAGCTGCGAGGGACACGGACGACGAAGATGGATGGAACGGTGGTGCCTCGCAGTGCGACCCGTACGGCCTGTACGTGCAGCTATCGCGCTGCCGAACTCTAGACGGCATCATGCTCGTGTCCAAGGTGCGGGACAGAGACTTGGTGGGCAACCGGGTCCCCGAGGAGATGACTGCCGCACAGGCCAGGCTCGAGGTACTGAGCGAGAGGACCGTTGAGGAGGCGTTGCGCTGGCTGGACGGTGATGCTGAAGAGTCAAGGCGGCCGCGCTAGGTGACGCGATGAAGAGTTCGGCAGGCGGGAAGAGTCGGCAGGCGGCAGACAGGGTGGGAGGCGCCTAGTGGTGGGATAAGGCACGCGAAAAGGCAACAGAAGCCGGGGGAAGGGCAGCGACCAACAAGGAGGGAGGCAAGGAGGGACCAATCACAAGGGACCAATCAAGGGGCGGAGAACTTTTGGGGGGAGAGGGCGGGGTCTGCGGGGCACGTTAGAAGGCCTTTCGTTCCTCAAGGCAAGGCATTAAGGTAGAGACAGCCTTCGGCTGAATAATCGTTGTCGTTCGAGGAAACGTACAGGTTTGCCTGGGCGGAAACGCTATCTCCCCTGCAAAAAGCTAGCGGCAGTGACTTACTATTAACCGTAGCTTTTGCAGACGGGGAGAAGTCACGACGGCACGAGACGTCATTATTGCTTTATCGGATAAACCCTTTTACCCGGGTGCCGTGCCCCAGGCGGGGCTCCTCACCCAGAACGCACGCGCATCGACCTTTCGCTGCCGACATTCTCAAGACCAAGCCATCGGCCCGCCTCAAGTCCAATCGTGCGTCCGCGAGCGTTCGTCCCTCGTCTGTGCTGGCTTGTCAGCGATATCTAGCTTCGGTGCCCTCGCGAGCACCATCCTGCCGCCGCCTCCTTGGTGCCACGGTTGTACATACCTTGGAAGCCCCTCCCTCGCCGACCGCGGTGCGTTCGTAGTCTCAACGACTGAATGGCAAGTGGAATCTATCCGTTCGTGGGCTTTGACTCACATACCGAATGCCAGAATTTCAAAGCTGGGCCGCTCACCACCGTGGTGGACTGGGACACCGTCGACCCAATTCAAATCGCCACCATTGTGGGCAAAGGGCAGAGAGTTGCATGGAAGGGGGCCAATGTGAGCATCATCACAAAGAACATTCACGGAGCAGAGCAGCGCCAGCCGCTCATGGAAATGCCTGATGGCGAATGCGTTTTAAAGGAGGGCTTTACACTGTACATTACCCAAGGCAAGGCGCTGGAGCTCTAAAGTTACGCTTGTCTGTCATAAATCCAGCTTCCTCTGGATTTGCAACCCTCTCGCCAGCCCGAGGGCAAGGCTGACTATGGCTCCGTCTTCAGTGACAATCATGGACACACACTCGGTGGCGGAGACTCCTTGGCTAATTTCTTCCCCCCGAACCGAGCTCTCCTTGACAGCGTCGAGCATTTCCGAACCAAATACCTTAAGGATCGTGTCCTCTTCGACGCCTTTCAAAGTGACCTCTGTCCCAGGGACAATGACGGTGATACCCTCTTTAAGCACGATGCGTCGGACACTGCCGATCATGACGATTTGGGCGCCAAAAAGTTGCTGAGCGAAGTAGCTCACCGCCCAAGGGCAGATGTGCATGCTGAGCAGGCAATCGATGGCACCTCTGCCCCATAATGGGAATTTGATCGTGATGGACGCACGTAGCTCGGCTTCTCCATGACGAACGGCAATGTTCCTGACGGCCTTGCATATCTCCTCTTGGAACACCGCGGCCGCCCCGGCGGAGGAGGCATATCGCAAAGAAGCTTCTTGGCTGTTGGCGGAGCGGCTCTTGTCGGAGCTGAGCTTGGCTTCGGTCTCTACATCCTGCCCCCCCGGCGGCAGTATGTCGTGGTTGATGTCGTCCCGAAACGTACTATCGCCGTCGATTACTAAAGCTTGGCAAGAGTCCAACGGGACGACCGGGTATGTAGACACGCCTAATATCTCGTGTGAATCGACATACTCCTCGCCGCGCACTGCGGTCCCGTATCGGCCAGGACGGTCATGTTGGAGCGTTTGCAATGAATTTATTGACTCACCTTGGGGCGGTATCCGCGCCTCTTTGGCAAGCTTGTGCAGGACCTGATCATTGAACGGATATGAGCAGATTCTCGTCTTCAATCCCTCAATGAGCCTTTTGCGATCATCCCGTTTCATTTCCGTCGCTCGATACTGGCCCAAGGCGACGACAGCAAGCAGTAGAGCAGCCCCGCCGGTCTCCTCGAGTACGTCGAGGAGGAACGCACGATATGTGCGGTGCCTCTTGGACCATTTCGTCTCCGTCGGAGGCAAGAGCAGTGCTCGTGTACCTTGAATACTCTTAAACTGTCTCTGACTGAGGCTCTTGTCCCTGATGAGGATTGATGCGCATTTAGCGAGGAGATTGAGCGCTGCAGTACTGCTCAAAGCTTGCCGTTCCCTTCTATCGGGCATGCCAATGTTGCCCTCCGTATGAGACATGGTGGGCCCGGTCTTGGAGCGGGCGTAACTAATATGTCTGATCAAAGCTCGTGGGCAACAGGCGCACAGGCCTTGTGGAGGAGCGTGGCGGAGGCCGTGCGGGGGGTGTTGAGAGTGGGGTTGTAGCAGCAGCAAAAATTGACTTCAGGCTAATAGGTAGGGCATGGGACACTTTTACGTGTCCGAGACGCCGGCCCGCGGCCAAACTTTAACCCGAGCATCGCGCTCCCCTTGTTGATGTGGCGCATTAGTTGCGTTACCGTTTGCCTGTGCGGCCAAGGATCGCTGGAACTTTTGCAACATGCAGCCAGGGATGTTTCCTGCCACCATTACCTATCCGTACGGACGTAGCGAAATCGCGACTTACTACGTACATAGATATGTTTACGATGTACCGCGTGTACACGCGCCTAGCTACGCCCAAACCTGTTTGGGCACAGGGATAATATTCGCGCACAGGGAGAGTAAGTGGGGTCGGCGCCGTTTGCCACCTGTCCTTCAAGGTAAGTTTATTTTTTTCATTGGTTGAGAGAAGCGGGGCATGACGGATTAATATTCGGGCCGCGATGATTTCTCTTGAAACGGTTGATTCCGTAAATGCGCCTTCATTCCCTCCTCGCGTGGGCCTCGAAATCGACTTCGTCATAGGCCACCAATCGACATTTCCACGTCCTATTCCATCCAATGTCCGAACTTCCCCGGGAGATTGAAAAGCTTCAGCGTTTGCTGAAGAAAGCGCGGCGCGAGAAAGAGGAAGCAAAGGCGCGAGAAGAGGAAGCAAAGGCGCGAGAAGAGCAAGAGCGGCGCAAGAGCCAGAAGACCACGCTGGAGGAATATTTATACAACTGCCATTTCCACCTCTATACGAAACTCGGGTTCGCCGACAAGTCCAAGTCTTCGACGGGACTCGCTAAGCGAGTCGACAACAAATACTATCCTAAGTGGCTACGTCCTTGGAACATCTTCGCCAGCTACCAGCGACACCAACATTTTGACGAGATCAGGAGGGTCTGCGGTGAGAGTCGGCTATTTCATCAAGAGAGTACGACCAGAAACCTAGGAGCTACTGTCTCTTACGATCCGGCTGGTAACGAGAACGCCGTCGAGTACTTCGAGAAGATCGCAGTTGAAGTTCCCGTGCGGGAAATCCTGGCGCCCGTATGGGATCAGGAGGGCTTACATGGGGAGCACCGGATTACGATGTTACGATTCAGTCACAACGTCCGCGACTTCACGCAACCGAGCGATAGTCGGATTGGAGATGATGACCCAAACGAGGAAAGGCAGGAGCGACGACGGCCGGCCGGGACCACCATGCGAATCGCATCCACAAGAGAATTCCAGCCGCCACCAATGAAACCTGATGGAGGGGGCATACGTACGCACCTGGACGGTGACGAGAGCATGGCTTTTGTCTATGACTTTAAGGCAGCTCACAAGTTTGCGGCGGCGTACCTCAAGGCCACACTTGCGAAAGAGAAACTGTTTTCGGAGGTCATCGCAAGGTACAACAGCAATAAATACAAGAGCAATATCAAGCTGCAGGAGCAAGAGAGGGAGGAAACCCGGATTGCCATGGCGCTAACACAAGTCTTCGACTATATGGTTTGGTATGGGGTTGCATACGGCTATGTCGCCGCCGGTAAGTCCTTTGTCTTCCTTCATATGGACCGAGATAAACCACAGACGTTGTATTATCATCTATGCATGCCAAACGAAGAGGTGGTCGAAGTGTCGGCTGGGGATCGGGCTAGACAGGTGCCTCATACCGCAGTAGCTCAACTGGCCAGCTTTTGCCTGTTGAGTCTCCGATCTGAGGCGCTCAGGGGAAATTCACTCGACGCGGCTTTGCAGAAGGCAAAAAAAGAGCTGAAAAAATGGGGGGAGCCGTATGAGGACCTGCGTCTTCTCGGGGCAGAAGGTACGGATTCATCGTCGCCGTCGTCATCGCAAGGGACGGAGGGCTCGGAGTTCCAGTCCGTTGAAGGCCCAACAAATCGAGTGTACCCATTGCGATCGAGGTCATCGTGCATGGGCGGGGCAGTTCGTCGCAGAAACGAGGACGAGGACGAGGATGGTCCGAAGAGTGATCCATCCCGGACTTGGACAAGAACCAACACGAATGAGCGTAGGGAAGGTCCATCGAGCGGCAGCTGTGAGGACCAGGAGACCGAAACGTCCGATCCGGGACCCACCAGGCAATACTGCACACAGGCCTGCTTGTTGAGCCTCAAGAGAGGCTGGGATCTCGACGCCAATTGCCCCAACGTGCCCTCGCATCGCACCACCGAAGGCGGTATCCGACACCCCATCGACGCCGGCGAGTTCACCCGCCTGGTGGGCGAGCGGCTGCGCCGGAATCCTTATCGAAACTGCAAGGCGCTGGACGGCCAAGGCAAGGTTGGGGCGACAGGGGTGCTCTTCAAGTTAGAGCTGGCGCCGTATGGCTACACATTCGTGGGCAAGGGAACGCTGTCGGATCATCTATACCTCCTGGAGTACGAGAGCCGTATCTACGCACATCTCGACAAGCTCCAGGGCGAGGTGGTGCCGGTGCACTTTGACATCGTCCGACTGGCTAGGGGTTACGTCCTCCCTGGCGGGGCAAGGTCGTTCACATGATGCTAATGTCGTGGGGCGGCGAAGTGGCCGTGGAGGTGGGGGTGCCGGACTTAGCGGCTGAGGTGAGGCGTTCTTCGCAGGCCGTCTGGGCCGAGGGTGTCGACCACGGTGACGAGCGCGAACCCAATCTGCTCTGGAACAACGAGCGCCGCCGCGTCATGCTCGTCGACTTCGACCGCGCCAACCTTCTCCCAGCTCCCAAACACAAGCAGCTTTTCCATTTATCCCGGGATAAGAGGAAGCGGCAGAGAGACGGGTTTGGAGCTCGTAGCAGGAACCGTGGCTTGCTACGAGATCATTTGCAAGTGGTGGAATAGCCTTTCGTATCTTTTCCGTTCCTGCTGCTTGAAGCCTTACTGCTCTGAACTGGCGGGACGTGAAGTTTCAGCCAAACAAACCACTATAACTACCCAAAATTTCCCCTCAAGCGGACTAGCGCATACAATGAATGGGGCATGAGTCTGATCGCGAGCTACCGCAACCGCCCTAGCTACTGGTCATGATTGTAAGCAATCGGGCCGCGACTCCGGTGTTTGTTGGCCCGGCTTCTGTCCACATGTTCCTGAACAACCTTCACTACAGGCGAGCGATAACTGTCACCGCGCGGTTACTGGCAACTAGGGGATACCAGCAACAACGCATGAATGGTTGCTGGCACTGTGGCTGGGCGGTTACCAGCAGCATCTAGCGACCAGGAACAAGAGTCTAAAGGCGACTGGCACCTATACATTGCTGCCAACCTCTGACCATGGGTAACCAGTAACCCCAGGCTACCAGCCACTGCACCTGGGCGGTTACTGGCACGGCTGGGTGCTCTTGCGGCCTGTCTTACAAGTTACTAGCGCCTACGCTTATTTAGACACGCGGGGCCGATGTCGCTCATAGCCCGCTGCTGGTAAACTCAGGCCGCGGGAAGACGAACGACAGTCGACACTGCATACGGTCGTTCCGAGCTTAACCGACATCCTCCTCGAACGAACAGCACTGGAGGATTGAGGAGCTCCATCATGGAAGAGCCGGCCGAGGCCGTGATTATGGTGGGGCAGGGCGCGCCGCCCGCTCAAACGCCCACGAAAAGATCGAGTCGCATCACGAGACCTAGCAGCAAGATTCGGGAAGCGACGCGACAGCTTGAAGATACAGCGGATAGGACAAAGCGGAGCGCCAGGATTGCAACGCGTTTGGCGCCAGATGAAGTCGCGACCAATAACACGACCGAGCTGCAGAGGCTCAGCAGCAGCAGCAGCAGCAGTAGTGTCAACGAAGGCAGGGCTATGCTCCAGACGGCCTTGGATCTTCTGAGCGTATCCCGTCAAGGGAAAGAAGCAAGGGGGTTAGGGTTGTCTTGGCATAACCTCACTATTCTACTCGGACTCGGTATCCATGTCGAAATGACCAGATCTTTCCATCTCCTTTTCCCACGCTACCTGACCGAACTCATCCACGATGAGCTCTTCGGCCTCTTCCAATGCCCGTTTGCCCCGGAGATCTTCAATAGACGCCCAGGTTGGCTTCCAAATAACCTTATATTCCATGAAGCCGTTCCAAGCCTTTCGTACCTCCCCCAAGCGTAAGAACTCGTATTCCTTACTGGTGCAAGTCGCAATGCGCTTCTTTTGAACACGATACGAGGCAGTAGCAGCAGCGCGTGGCGCAGAATTCCTCTTACGCCCGCTTCGGCGCGGCTTGGTTACCTCGGGCTTTTCACAGACTGTGATCGCTTCGGGAAGCGCCTGCCGCCGGGGTGATGAGCATTCAGGCTCGATCATTCCATTCTCTGCAAAATACTGTAAGAAGTGCATGTGCAGGTTGTGGGCGAGAGCTCATAATACCTTGATTTGCTAAAACGTTACGCTGACGTGGCTCAGTTTGCTCACTGATGACCCTTTCGTACTCGGAGAAAAGAGATTGAAGACGGTTGGCGTCCATTGCTGGGCCTGTGGTAGGTACTTGGAATCGCGCGAGGCATGAGGTTGTCCCCTGCATCTCTGTCTCTGGGCCCGTCGACTTGATAACGGGAGCGCCAAACTTAACGTCGGGGGTTTCATCATCAGGCTCCGAGATGGTCTGACTGGGTTCACTTATGCTTCCTGAGTCGCTGCTGGAGCCAGAGTTACAGCTCCTTGAACTGGCTGGCGAGGGAGACGGAGTCGGGGACGGGAAGTTCCCCGTGACTGCAGAATGGTGGGATGAGTGACCTCGACTCGGGGAGGGCCAGCGGTATGTCTTCTTCAGAGTCATTCGGTCCATCTGCAGTGGTCACGTAGGAAACAAAGATATCGAAGAGAAGTGTTAAATGGGTGAGGAAGCCGGGGAATCCGGGGAATCCGTGACCCTTTTATAGACAATCTGAGCCCCCCATGCCCTTAGCTGTATGAGTAACGAGAAGAGGAAGACGGGGGCCAGCCTTGCCAAAATCATCACCGTGACGTATCAGTGCCTCCTCCCCAAGGCGCAGCCATTCCACCCACCTTGAGAGTCGTGGCCCTCGTGGGGTAAGGGACAAGCTGGCAAGGCCAACAGGAACCCCTGTTCCCTTTCCACTCTCCACACTCTCGTGTCTCGCCTCTGACTGGTCAACAACCCCCTCTTCCTCCACGAACATCGCTTCTCCTGTCCCCCTAGTTGAGTTGCATCGCAAAGCTGCAGCAGAGTAGGGGAGCAATCACCCAATCTCAGTGCGCGCCGGACAAGCAGCTCGTCCAGGTAAGATCACCGGACCACCTAACTCATAAACGTCACCTTTGGAATAGTCCGTCGTCGGGCGCCCTGGCACGAGCCGCGGCGCGGAAAGCCGTATACCCGAAACTCGTACGATTCGACATTGCCTGCGAGACTGAGGAAGGATCATCACCTTCATGCGGGCACAGGAACAGACCTAGGGTGGACCAAGACGGAGATAACGTCGAGCCACGAATCACAACATCGAGAGATGGCGTGCGTCGCGATTGTGGTCGCAGATTGCGGGGCCCATGTCGGTGGAATTCTTGTCGGGGGACGGTCCGTTGCTAGGATGCCTGCCAATCAAGGAGGCTTCACCAGCCAACGCTGAAGCAGGCCAGTGTTCCATCGGTGGTCGTCTCGGGCGCACCGAGGGACTTTTGATGGAGCTAACGGAGATGATGGAAGGTCAGCTGGCCTGATCTCTGCATGTGTTCGTATGCAGTATGCCTACCAAATGACAGGGCAGACTTTGCCACGTCATCCGATCCCAGAATAACGGACAATATTGCAGCGGAAGCCTGTGAGTCATCGCGGGAATGGCGGCAACCAAGTCACTGGCAAGATCCAAGGATCTGGCGGGTACCCGTGATCGCGTCAAGCTGTTGCCAGAGTATGGAGGTTGAGAGTCGGGGGAAATCCCGTCCACATCGGCGAGTGAAGGCCCCTTCGATTCAGGGCGTTGAAGCAACAAGAGGAGCCCTTTCCCTCCCCGAAGCCAAGGTGAAGGACCAAAGGGACAAAAGACATGGCTGATGAAGCGGACATGCAGAACCCAGGGGCATCATGACTCAGCTGAACTTGCAGAGTAAGGGTCGAGGGGGTCGTGTGAGCGGAGCAGAGTCAGACAAAGGAGGGGGCTGTGCATCAGACATGGCCGGCCGACAGGACAGGGATAACGGTGAGAGAGAGAGAGAGAGAGAGGAAGAAAAGGAGAATCGAGTGGAAGGGGGGAGGGAGTGTGGGTGTTCTTATAGCAATCCCGCATGCAGCGACGGGCCAAAATGGGAAGGGGATTGCCTAAAGCGGAAGGCGGTGGGGGGCGGCGGGGAATTTGCAACGACCGACTTTACCAGCAAGCACGGGAATTGGGCCACACAACGGAGATTGAGTCGGAGGTCTTCAAACGCTACCTGGACCAAGACAAGATAAACAAAGCCTTAGCTTGGCTGATCGTCGCACGAAACCTTCCTTATCGAATTGTCGAATCCCGCGAATTTCACCTCTTCATTTCGACCTTGAACCCGGTCGCGAAGGACCATCTCCTTCCGCCCACTCGACTATTCCACGGATTATCGACAATCATTTCCAGTCGGCCAAGGATATCGTGCGAATGAAGCTCCAGTCAGCAAAATCCAAGGTTCACCTCTCGCTTGACATTTGACGTCCCCAATCGGCTCCTTCTTCTCGGAGTTTGCTCCCACTTTGTTGACCACGCACAAGAAGCACGACGGAAAGCTCTCCTTGCACTTCGGCCTGTGGCGAACCATTCCGGGAGGAGCAATTCGTTACACTTCTTCCCATCTTGCGGGACTTTGGTATTCTGCGACGCCTTGGAAGCATCGTTGGGGATAATTCGAGCACGAATGACACCTCTGCCGGGCAGTGAGCACGTATCTCAAGGAAGAGGGCGTCAAATGGGATCCTGAAGTTCACCGCCTCCGATGCCTAGGCCACGTTATCAACTTGGCAGTTCAAGCTTTCCTGTTCCAGAATTTTATTGACTTGAAAGAGGGCGAAATATGCGAAGACGCAGATGACCTGGCAAAAGTTCAAAGGCAGCGCACCGAATTTCGCCGCCTTGGACCACTTGGTAAGCTCCACAACCTGGTTGTCAACATCCGGAGTTCATCAGGACGCAGTGGAGAGTTTATGGAACTCGCTGAGAGGGGCATTCCACTTGACAATCGTACGAGGTGGAATAGCTGGTATCAAATGCTGCATGTTGCCACTCAGCAGGAAACTGCCAGCGCTCTGGACACCTACACCAAGAATCATTTCGAAGATCTTTCTGCGGATTTTCTATTGCCGGAAGATTGGGCCCGGCTCCGAATAATTGAGAAGATCCTTCAACCGTTCGCCCGAGCGACATTAGCAACACAAGGGGATCATGCGACCCTGGACAAAGTGCTCTTCACGATGGACGTCTTGATCCGATGCTTTGATGAAGCCCTGGTACCATGCCTTCCATTCCTCTGATCTCCTTGTGCAAGCGCTGAGATGGTGCAATAGGTCTCGTACAAATCAGACACCGAGCTGTCCTTTAGGATCAAACGAGG